CATGGCAAATGTCATGAACCACAAAGTTGTTATAATGAATATTATGTCATGACAAATGTCATGACAATTTGACCATATTACACATTCGAACACTTACGACAATATATATTGTTTTTTGTATACCGTAAATGTATATACAGGTGAAAGTGAAAGAAACAGGATCAGGGGAAGAAGACACGAAAAGAAATGAGGAGCAGTTGCTGCAGGGACAGAAAAAGAAAGTGAAGCAGATGTGCAGTAGGCAATTAGGTGGGTGCTTGTCTTGGAAGAGTTTGTGGTTGAGAAGAAAAAGAAGGCAGAGAGAGAAGCATAAATCAAGAAGCAACAATATTTTTCTTTGCCATATTAATGCATGCTATAAAGAATAAACTGTCCTTTTTTTGGGATAGAAAAATTCTCTTTCCATCATAGATTCTACTAGTGCACCTACCAAGGATTTAATTCATATATATTGATTGATAATGTAAAAAGTTCTATATTAATATATGTATATTTTAAGGAGATTACTCATCTCATTTATTATAAACGATTATCTAGTAAAATTTATATTACTAGCTGCATTGTTAATATAGAGAAGTTAAACTCACTGATGAACATGACTGGGGAAAAATTATAAATGCAACCATGAATAGGCAGCAATTCACGGATTGGGTCATAGTGGCTCTTTTCTCTCTCTTTCTTTGTTCCTTTTATTTTTTGTCATATTTGGTTTCTTTTTGCAGTAGTAATGATGATAAATTGAACATATTTCTAACTTATTTTCTGATATAGCTGACAATTAATAGATAAATAAATTTATTTTGTGAAGTGCTTTTTTCAAAAGTACTTTTGGAAAAAGTATTTTTGAAAAGAAGCAGTTTGTGTTTGGTTAATCACTCTGAAAAGCATTTTTGAGCAATAATTTGTGTTTGACCAAACTTTTCAAAAAATGCTTTTTAGTATCAAATTACGAATAAGGATATGAATAGATTTACTTAATAATTAATATTATAAGTAAATAAATAATCTCAAAAATTTATTATTACATGCAATAATTAAATCTTTTTATTTTATTTAAGTAAAATATGAAAATAAAATTTAAAAGTATTTAATTCTTTTAATATAAGTTAAATATATTAAAAATCATTCAACAAATATAAAAAAATTACCCCTAAAGTCACTATATATTAGAAAATAATCCTAAAAATAATAAAAAATATTTATACATTAATATCCTAAGTATTAGGTTTAACAGTTATTTTGGTATATACAATATTTTGTTAAGGGTATTCTTGATAAAAAAAAAAGTCAAAACTGCTTCTGCTTTTGCGAAGAAGCTATTTTTTTCTGCTTCTTCCCAAAAATACTTTTTTCCCAAAAAAGTTTGGCCAAATACCAAGTTAGGAAAAAAAAATATTTTTGAAAAAAAAAAAAACACTTTTAGCATCTCGAAAAGCTTGGCGGAACAGGCTATAAGTTGGGTATCGTTCACGGGCATGCTTTTGATCAGAAACCAGAGATTACATTGTTGGCTTTAGGGGTTTGAAATGGATCTTGTGGGTTAAAGAAATAAGGTCAATTCCTGTGTTCATTGTCGTTCAGTAGTGGAGCACCTTTGGTTATCCGACACAGCTTCATAATTTTTTCTTTACCAAAGTGTGAACAATATATATATATATATATAGTAAGATAACATTATTTGAAGGTTATATAAATACATATCAATTTGGTACATGACTTAAAGCATTAAAATCAATAGTTTCATATCCAAACTCACTTACAAGTCAATATATATTATGCATATGTCACTATGGGTAAGCATATCTTCCTTACATAGTTAGGAGCAATGTCTCACATATCGAAGTTGACTTTTAACACTAATATAGCTATATTATAAAAATCTACTTAAGAGAAACAACAACGAGTCGTTGTAGTATAGTGGTAAGTATTCCCGCCTGTCACGCGGGTGACCCGGGTTCGATCCCCGGCAACGGCGCTATTTCTTTTTTCCCTATATAATTCTTCTCATGTTGTGTATCTGTTCGTTTTATATATTTTTTTAGATGATGTTTCTCTTTTACCCTTTTCTTCCATAACATAACATACAGCAGCATCACTTATATTCTATGGTTGAAATCCAGCATATCCTGAGCCTCCCTTGTTAAGCTTTTACCTTAGACTTGCCAATGGCAGTCAAAGTTTCGTAAGTTGTTTCAACCATCAAATGTAAGAAAAGGCAATATGGTCTCTATATATAAACGTGCTGGCTGTAAATCCTGCTGACAAACCTACAGCTCAATAATTTGAGTATACTGATTGTTGAGGGATTCAATGCTGAACAAATATACTGGTTAAAGATTCATTCACTATAACTTATACTAAATGCCCACACAACCCAATATAATTACCCGTAGTTACCACATAAAAGTTTATTACAAAAACTACCTATTCGGCCAAAATATTTTACCCAGCCTACCTATTCCCTTTTGCCTTTTGATTTGTTTTCTCAATTCTAGCTTAATCTAGTGGAAAACATTCCCTTTCTCCTTTGAAGTGCAAAATCCTAGAGCTTTCTCTTTTCATAGACTATGGAATTCAATTGACCCCGTTATTTTTCATATAATCTCATCACTCTTTTGTTAAAATCTCATGCTTGCTCGGATTTTGCACTTCGTATTTTTTGCTGAAATTAAAATTTTACAGATTTTCTTAAAGTCTTTTTTCCAAAATTCCAAATATATGATTTGTCAACTTGAAGATTTTAATATTAGATTTGAAGTGGATGTATATTGCTTATAGCACCTTCGAGTAAGTTTCCAGATCTGAATTTTTATGTGTATTTGAATATCCACCATTATTGGTCTTGAAGCTCTTGAATTTAAAATTTTTATTTTGAAGATCTCTTGTTTGATTCAAAGTGGGTATTATTAAATATTACTTATAGTGCCGTTTGGAACTTTATACTGAAATTTGATCGCATTTGGAGCTGATTTGAGGTGATTGAGATCGAATATTTCAGTTGAAAATCGAAGAAGAACACAGTTACTCAACAGTATACCGCTACGATATACAATATGTTGTAGGAGTATATAGCTATACTACAATAATATACTATTATAATATATAATATTCTGCAATGCTATACTGTAATAATCGAAAAAGAGCACAGTTACCTAAGAGTATACCGCTACGATATATAATATATCGTAGGAGTATATAGCTATACTGCAACAATATACTGTTATAGTATACAATATACTACAATAGTATACTGTAATAATATGCAATATACTGTAACAATATACTATAATAGTATACAATATATTATAATAGTATACTTCGACTGCTATTTGTTGAATCATCTAGGTGCTATTGTGCAAAGCTAAAGTCATGGTTATAGTAACATTATACTGTTATATTATACAATATAATATAACATTATACCATAATAAATAAGTCGTTTATTTTTTTTTTTAATTTTTTCAACCAAGTCCTTGTAAATGTTTTCTTAAATGAATTTTTGATAGAGTTACATGAAAATAATATTCATTGTATAAGAAGTAGGTGTCGGAAGACATAAAATAATAATATACCTATTTGGTATATTTATATGCAGTTTTGGTATACTATTGTGACAAGTATTTTACAATAACATTAAATACTAATATGCCATTTTATTATACTAATATACCATTTTATTATAATCATATATAATTTTGGATCCTATGTGCTAGAAATATTTACAGCAATACATGTATTTAAAAAAAAATACAATGAAAAAAAGAGAAGAGAAAACGGGTACAGTGTATAAGTTGCTCTAATATTTGATTTAACGAAAAAAAAAAAGAGAAAAAGAAAGCCCCAAAGAGCTCTGAGTGAAGCTCCTGAGTTTCCATTAGCTTCTTGGAATCACATCCAGCAGTGGTTGGAACAACTCGCAAAATCCAACCACTTCACCAATAGTATATTATACTATCAATTATATTAAAGAAGATGGATACATTTTTACCATATCATTTATCTTTTATTATTGTATAAAAAAAGAAGAACAAAGAAAAAGAGCCAAAAAAGTGAATGTAAATAGATTATGTAGAAAAAAAAAGTAAAAGAAAAAAGAGCTAAATGAATTTGAAAAAGGAGGAAGAAATAAAGAAAATGAACAAAAGGAAAGAAAAAAGAGAAAAAATTAAATAAAAGAAAGGAGCGAAAATTGAGTATGGAATCAGATTATTTGAAATTAATAAAATAAGAAATAATATGATTTAAAAAAGAACATAAAAGGAGAAAAAGGGAAAAAAAATTAAAGAAAAAGGAGAAAAAAATAAAAGGATAAAAAATAGCCAATTATCCACAAAAGCTATAATGGGTAGGAAAGGTAATTAGTTTAATAGGTAGAAAAATAAATGGATGGACAAGGGTAATTAGTTTGATTTTATGGGTAAAGCTACAAAACTCCCATGTTTTTATCCGTTTGTACATGCCATTTATTTTTCCATTGTGAAAATTTGAGAGCATCAATTATCAGGAATTTGATGGGAAAAAGACTAGACATGTTTTCTTGGTCTGTTTCATTGTTCGAACAATAAGAATTTATAGCTGATAAGGAACTCTTAGAACGTTAGTCGGGTAAATATTCGTACCAATATGGTATGGTATGCACTGTTTGACCAAAAAATATAACTTCCGGTTAAATTATTAAATTTATGTATTAATGGTTTAAATTTAGTTAAGGATAACAACTCTAGATGCTAATCTCGAAAACAGGTAAGTGATGGGGACAAATTCCGTGAATGAGTGATGGCAATAAGTGCAAAATACTCTTAAAGCATGAACATTAATGGAGATATAACTAATAATAAATGACAATAAATGACATTTAAGTAAATAAGGAGAATGATTCACCTAATAATGGATGGATTGGACGAATATTTCTCCTGACAATGATGAATGACAGAAATGTCCAAAATTCGTATAAACAATCCTCGGATCTGGTGGTAAAGCGGGGAATAATATGAGCAAGAATCTTTATCAAAAGGTAATCTTTATATTTTTGTAAGAGAGAGAATCTTCCTCTCAAAAGTGTTCTTATCAAATCAATATTACATGCCTTTCTTCCTTTATCTTTTTCCTTGTATATTCAACATAGTAAACCCTAATAGTACAAAGGTGGAGAATATTCATTAGAATATTTTTTCTAATATACTACTCTGAAAACTAGCCGTTATTGTCCTTTACGCAGTGCTTGACCTCGACCATGGTTGACACATCGGCCACGAATTTTGCTGCCTTATGGTCGACCTCGACCGACTCTTTTCTTAATGTCATATTAGACCAAATACCCTTGGGGCAGATTTTGGCTCATACCATTAGTCCCTTCACTCATTGAGGCCGAGCCCAGATAGACTTGATGAGCGGACTCTGTTTATCGTGGTTGACAAAATTGGGCGAGCAAGTCGGATAGTTGGACGAGGTGGCGATATGACCTTTCGTGAGCTGCAACCTTTCGGGCCGCATTGTTTTAGAA